TGCTTTCCATATTGTGTCCCGCACCCCTGTGGGAAGAAACCCCACTCAAGTCTGCACAGTGCTCCTGAGAGCCTCTCCTCTAGACCGATCTTGATGAGTTTCACATGAATGCTGGGGCTCATTGCTCTCCTGTGATGGGTCTGGGAGTAGCCAGGGCAGGATATTACTGGAATTCCACCATTCCTCTGTTTTCTCCATGCTCACTACCACTGCCGTCTACCCCCTCACCCCAAGAAGAGTGATGACTTTTAGCCAAAAAATTAGTATTGAATAGCATACTGTGAAAACTAGGTTCAGAGTTGTTAAAGCAGGTCTACCTGTTTCTGCTTGCGGTTGCTCTGTAAACTACCTTGACCGTCGAAGCTACTTTCTGGAGTCCTTTTCACACTCTCCTCGAATATGTAGAAGCTTATAGAAGTAATGCTGCTTTGAAGAGGGATCAGTTGCATTTTCTCTTCCAATGAAAATAGCCATAAACCTTTTCCAGGTAAATGATACTTTGTGAAAGTATTTGGGAAGAAAGAGTTAGTTAGCCAGCAGTAACTGATGCTCTGTTGGTAAAGGTTGGTGAGGCACCAGGTTAATTTCTTGGAGAGGTAGTGTGGATTGCATTGTGGGCAAACAAGGAAGGAGGGACAAAAATCTGTCTAGAATGGTAAAAATAACTGAGTAGTGACTTCAGACTGGGGATGGGACTGGTAATCTGGTGTTTAATAAAGTCTGGTAAAAATGCAGTTACACTGAAATCTACAAGTTAGGTCAGGGCTGTTTTTTTCTCTGCTTAAAGCTTTATCAGAAGGTGTGAATTTAAAAAAGGAAACATTTAAATAAGCTTTGTCTCCAAGGTCTTCAATGGTAATACAACTAAATTTTCCTAAATCTTCTGCGAGAGAAAAATAGCTTTTTTGTATTTGAAGTAACTCGTAAAATATGTTTCGGCAAAACCTCTTTTTTCTTTCTCATGAGTGCTTCTGCTGAGAGAGGGAACAAAACTTCCTTCTCCTAGAGTATTGTCACGTGCAGAACAACTAATTTCCATTGATTTCATGTGGCACACCCAGAAGCAGCACTCTTTGTAGAAAAGCTGTCAAATTTTCCTGCATTGTCCACTATTTCCCACGCAGTGCTGTCAGCACTGATGGCTTAGGTTAAAGCCCCACAGACCTCTCTTCTTGCTTGCTCTGCAGAGCAATCTTCACAGTAAGCGATGATCAGATAGCGGTCTCAAATTAGATAAATGTTGCTAATTTCATTTTCAAGGGGAGAGAAGACAGGATGAATGAGAAGATTTTTGCCCTAAACATTTTCAAATACAGAAGGAAAGGTTTAACGTTGGGGAAGCACAGGTTCAACTCCTGGTGACTGCTTCTTTCAGGTAAATCAAAGTCTCTTTAAGAATCTCTAAAAGAGACTGTGCTGATGGAGAGAGGTCAGTCGTGGAATGAAATTAGTTCAAAGTTTAGATCCCCCCCCCACCTTTTTCATGTGCATTAGAATAACTAGATTCTAATATTCATATTATTGTAACTCTGGAAGCAGAGAAACCTAATTTCAGTTCCTTATATTGTAAAAAAAAAAAATAGATGGTTTTTACTTGTATGGTAAGTGCTCATGTTGTCCCTTCTGGCAAGTATGTTCTTTCTAGCTAATGAAATCCTTACTTTGAATAGGAGATATGGCTGTTCAACCAGCTGAGGATGAAGAAACATTTAATACCATTTCGAACCAGTATCCTGAGATTTATTTTCAACCCTTGATCCTCACAGGTATGAGATTCATTTCTGTTGTAGGAAATAGAGAATGAGGTTCATTGGATATAAACTTGAAGCATTATTTAGCTGATTTTTACATTATTTAGTACCAAATTTGAATATGTTGTACAAATGTCTTTTAGAACCTCCCCCAGAGGATCACTTGCTGCAGAATACCTTGTGGCCTGAAATTCAGAAGTTGTAAGTTTTATTCTTCTTTTTTATTTAATTTACAAAATTTCCAGAAGGCTATTGCAATGTATTAATGCAGTGTGATCTTGTAACTCTTCCTATTTTACTACCTGATTTGACTTTGAGTGCCATGTATTGCTTGTAAAATAAATTAATTATATGTATATAAATGCAGAAAATGGCAGTTAGAACTGGTATGTCACAAAACTTCATTTCACTAGTTGTTTCTGTATGTCACTAGTTGTTTCTGTACCAGAGAAATACATGTGTTTTTAGCACAAAGCTATTCTTTTGAATTTGTAATGATCAGACTTTCATTGTCCCTTTGGATATTTGTATTTTGAAGGTCTGTTTAGGGCACTAGTCCCTGCTTTTTTTTCTTCTTTGTTCCAAGACAATAGTAAGGTTTCTGGTTTGCTGTAAGAAAACCGTGGCATGTTTTCATGGTGTTAGCTGTGCTCTGGAATGTGATGGGGTTCTCTTTTCATGCTGCAGCCTTTGTTTAGGTCTGTCTGTGCAGCATAACTGCTTAAAACCTTCCTTATACTGAAGGTCTCTCTGCATAAGGAGATTTCTGCTTCTTTCCACTTCGTGGCACAGACTTGCAGATCAAGTTTGTCTTTCTGGTATGGAAGTAAAGCGTGAGGCATCAGAGGAGGAGCTTCCCCTTAAAGCCTAACAGAGTTGTAAGATGCAATAGATGAAAGCAGCAGCCAAAATAGGATGTGTCTAGTCGTAGAGCCAAGTGGTGAATGTTGAGTAAGATGGTTACAAACCCAGTTTGGGTATTGAATGCTGACAGAGTGGGTTGTGAATTGCAAAGATAATAGAGTTAAGTGGTCATGACGATAATTGTTTGAAGGTTGCAGGGGTTTAGAATTCTTCAGCTGTGTTTTGTTCATTTTTTTCTGAGATTCACAACAATTTGCAAATGAAGGTTGTCACCTTATTTGTTCTCTAAGGTTCCCAATAACATGAGGCTACACTTTCACAATCTTTGAAGGTTTAGTGTCAATCTTCAAAGTATAGCACAAAGAAATGGATCATCTCAAGGTCTTACGGGTTTATTTATGTGAATCTCCTGAAAGAGTGGTCTCGGGAAGAAACAAGACGAATGTAGAGCCTTTGCTGATTACAGCTGCCTTTATACGTTACCAGTTTGTGACTTCAGTTGGGATTGGGAAATAAAAAAACTTTGGGAAAACATTTTGCAGGTTGCTTTCATTTGATTGAGTGGGAGGGTTTGTGGGAGCTCATTTTTACCTTCAACCAGGCAGTTAATCTTCTTTGAATGCTTTTAAGCTCTTTTACTGTGTTTGTACTCAAAAGTGCTTCTAGGAGGGAAGCTAGTGGATATTAGACTGGATCTGCACATTTTGTGATTTCGAACTGTTACGTTAACTGCTTCTCCTGTGCATGCTATGGCCGCTAATGCACCCACTCACATAAGTACTTTGATGGGGGATCTTTAAGTGTGAAAAGGAGCCAAGGCCAAAATTTTTCTTCATTTGCCTTTGACATTTCTCAAAGTCTAGTAGACGTTAATCTTTTATATTCTGCTACAGGAGTACTGCCTATCTGCTTTTATATCCTGCATGCATTAAAATAACTGGGTTTTATGATGGTCTTCAGGTGACTTATCTGAGCAATTTTCTTCTGTTTTTAGAGACACTGCTAATGACAGGGATTCTTTTATGCAAGGGCAACAAGATGTAAAGCATTCATAGACTTTCAGGTTTTTTGCTCAGGATAATCTTGAAAGAAGTAACATGAAATCGCATAATGTAGATTTCAAGTTACCATAGCAGCAGAAAAACAGTATGAGGAACTGACTTGCTAAAAATAGCTTGTTTGTCATTGACATTTGTGTATTCCCAGCTCTAGCTTGACACTAAATTTTGAAGGATTAGCGTTGGATTTTGAAAACTGTTTGCTTGAGTAGGTTTTAGTATGAAGAACTTGCTGAATTTTTTACATAATCAAATAACTTTAAAATAAAAAAAATGATAAATCCTGTGAGAGTATGCTAATCTTTATCCTCTTGGAAAATTACCATAGAGAGTTTATGTGCAGCAGGCTGAGATTAAAGCCTCAGTGTTAACATAAATATATGTGTTTATATATATGTGCATTTCACATAATACACTTGCAAGTCTTGAGAGATCCTTTTTGACACTAGAAAATTACTGTAATCATTTGTCTGGATGCTTTGAAAGTCCAGTCAGTTTACATGTGCATTAAAAAAATGCTATGAATTGCACATTGCTCAGGCAAGATCGATTGTGGTTGAAAATGCCATTTCATTATTCACTCATGCAGTTGCTTCTCTCCGTTGTGAACCTTTTTTTTTTGGTGTTACACTACATAGTGAAGGGATTGCACGCATGGGGGCAGGGGAAGGGGTTGTACTGGAGCTTCTATACTTACAAGGCTCATACACTCTTGTAAACAGCGTCTCCTGTTGCCACTAGCTTTATTCTCTTTACTGGAGACAGCACTGAGCTATATAGTCTGCTGGTCTGACCTGCGATAGTCCTGCTCATGTGACTTTGCAAAAGATAATATTTTAGGTTTTATTTTAATTTAAAGAGAAAGATTGCATTTTAATGCTTCTATTTAGCAAGAACAAAGTTGCATGCAGAAGCTCAAAATGTTTGTCAAGTGCTCTTCAATCCTACATTTAGGAGACAAAACCAAAGGTAACTGAGGATTTGTTTTACAAGTTGTTCCACTGGTTATTTTTCCTTCACTGAATTTCAGGCATTTTATACTTTTCATGGAATAAATACTTTTCAGTTTTAGAAATTGACTTTCAATGGTTTTCACTAGAAAATAATCTCCAGAAATGTGCTTTAAAAGTAAGCATTATGATAAAACTCCTGCTGGTGGCAGATTAAGAGGAAGACACGCCGTAGTACCTTCATCTTTATAAGATACAATCAGATCTGCAAATTAGCATTCCAATTAAGCACAGCCACCAGTCCCTTTCCCCCTGAAGGCCCAGGCACAGTTACTCTTCATGAAAAGCCATTGTATCCCCAGTCTTCAGACATGAGTGTGGGAGTCTGCCTGTGGGATATGCCCAGCAGCAACTCTTCTGGACTCCGTTCAACAGATACAGACAGTAATTTGTCATTTAAACAGTTGGCTGTTTTGGCTGCAAGTGAAATCCCATGAACATCAATCCCGTATAAGAACTTCTTTGCAACATTGCTGACCAAAGGAGTTTATTAAGAGAACTACCCATCTCTTCAGAGCTAGGAATCAAAGGAACCACCCCCCTCAACTGGTATTTAGCTGATATTTGTCCACTGTTTATAGATTGCATCTCCAATTTTACTTTTCTTCCAGTCTGTTTGTGATGGATTTTAATTTGTGTTAGTCTGTGTGACATTTCTGCTTGTTAGTTAAATTGTGGTCTGGATAAGTGAGCTTGAATTCCAGCAGAACTCATGCAAAGACTGATTGAAATGGTATTTCTGGAGAAAGTTAGAAGTTTTGCGGTTTTTATGGTGTTGTTTTCCTTTTCCAGCATGATTCTTGTCCTCTAGTTTAGAAATCTTCTTTCAGTATTTCACAGAACAGCCATCTTTTGGCTGGGTGTATTTCTTTGGTGATCTTCAAATATGTGACTTCTGATTTTTATTGGTAGTGTTATAATTCCTTTGCAAGAAAATAAGAATACATTAAATGCTACTTTAGGCTGCTTTGTTAATTGTTAATGTAGCTTCTGCAGTGCTGATGCTTTAGAACTATGGAATGGGCTAGAGAGATTATTCTGTAGTCAGTTCCTAAATGTGAAAGAATTTATGCAGATGTTTAAATTGAATGCTGAACATTATTAGGAATTATTTGGGACATAATTCTGAAACAGTTGTGAGAAGTTCTGGACAGATGCCTTTCATTTTTGCAAAGGGATTTAAATTAACATAAGAACCTTGATGCATGCTGCAAAAATAACTGTGATGTGTTAAGTATCTTTTCATGTTTATTTCAGATATGGACATGGATATGAAATTTTTTGTGTTGCTTGCAATAATTCAAACACTGTAATTGCCTCAGCATGTAAGGTAAGAAAAGATTCTAGCACCATCTAGTGAAGAGTGCCACCAGATTTCTAGGGCTGACAGAGCAGGAGTCAGAATTCAGTGTGGGCTGAATTCTGTTCTTTCACTTAAATGTGAAAAGTTCTGTATAGATGACAGTTGTATAGACGACAGTTGCCTTGCAAAGGAGAGAGTGAATGCAGATAAGTCATTATTCATAAATTATGTATGATTCATTTGAAGATATTAGTAAGATAAATTCTAACAAATATAGGTATAAAACATTCTCTTACTGATCTATTGTCAGCATTAGTAGAAAGTAGTGAAACAATCTTGAGACTTCCCAGAGGAAAGCTGACTCTAATTTGATTGCAAGCTTTAAAACAAGCCCTCTAACATCTTAGTATTTTGAAACGTGTGACTTTTATACTTGCTTTCATTAATTCTCACTGATATTTTTTCCATCAATACAGGCTTCCAAAAAAGAACATGCAGGAATTATTTTGTGGAGCACTACTTCTTGGAAGAAACTGCAGAGTTTGTCATTTCACAATCTGACTGTTACTCAGCTGGCATTTTCTCCTAATGACAAATTTTTATTAGCGGTTTCTAGAGACAGGAATTGGTCACTGTGGAGGAAACAAGACTCATCAGAGTCAGGTAATATATATGAAGTGGATATACACATTTGAAGACTTTGCAGTTTGTTCAGTATTTTTGACTTCAAAATATTTGAAAGAGAATTGGTGAAATATTTTAAAGGACATTTTCCTTACAACTTCTAAGAATTAATAGTGTTGTAGACTCCTGTGGTTTTACGAAGTGCTTTTAATGGTGGATACGAAGGCTAGAAAGGGAATTAAAATGTGGAAAAGAACATAATCAGGCCTTAAATGCTGTTTAATTGATGGATGTAATGAAGTCTGCTATTCATACTCCTGCCTTCTGCTTGTGATTGTATGTTTCAGATTTACTGAAATCAAGTATAGATGCTGGAACTTCAAACTGATATTCTACCAAGGAAAACCTTCATCTCTGTGTTCTGTGCAGGCAAGGCTGGAAGGTTCATTGCAACACCCCTGTCCTGCATAGAGCTGCCTTGTCCCTGTTCACAGGGCATGACACTTTGAGACTCTTGACAGGATTAATCTCTATCTTTGGTGTGGCTTTCTGATAATCCTACACAATTGATTAATTTGACTAGGACTGGCTCTGTCTGGAAAAAGAGCTGATAATAAAGATTTGGTTGACTTTCTCATTAAGACTTTGAGCCTTGCAAAATCATGAGGAGATTGCTATTGAACACTTTAATGGATTCCTAGAACAGATGCTTGTGCTTAAAATGATTATCATTGCACTTTTGGCTTAATAGCATATGACCACGACTGGGGTCTATGGAGTCTTCCTTGAGATGTGGCAGTGAGTTTTGGCCCCTTCAGGCAGTGTCCGGTTGTATGCTGGCTTGAGATTTCTGTTCTGTCTTTTCTAAAGCCTGGCATGTTGTCCACTGTCATTACACAATGTTTCAGGATAAGGAGTATGAATTCTCATAGGAAGTAGAGGAAATCCTCTTTTCGTCAGTTCATCAATAACCTTTCTGTCTACAAAGAATGTCATTATCAGTGTAAAGCAAAACTGCTGGTATTGGCATCCCAAGAAGTGGTTATACGAAGTCTATGCTCCAAAATGACAGCCTTTTCTACTTTGGAAAAGCATTCCCATTTACTGATCTGCTGATCAGATTTGTTGTATGCATATTGAAATGGCAGCCTGTCTCTTTGGGAACACATTAATCTTTATAATTAGAATCATAGAATGGTTTGGTTGAAAGGGACATTAAAGACCATCAAGTTCCAATGCCTTCCACTAGACCAGGTTGCTCAAAGTCCCGTCCAACCTGACCTTGTCCTCCTATGGAAATACCTCCTGGTATTTGGAGTGGGGAAGAAGACGGGGTGATGCAAATCCACGGTTTACCTCATGCCAGGGGACTTGGGGCTTTGCAGAGTACATGTAGGGGTTTATGCAGGGGAGTGGTGATCAATACACCTCTGAGGACCTGGGGAACCTGACTTCAAACCGAATGCAGCCATAGGCACCTTGTGCAAGTCAGGCATGAG